TTCTTTGAGAAGAGAATTGTTGGTTTGACCGACGGACTACGTGGGAAATACGAGATCTAGGCAAGCCGCTACATGTTCTCCCCTTGCCCTTGAACGATAGAAGAACTACTTATCTTCTCTTAGATAGCGGTCGATCGGTTCGCATCTATGGTCAATCAATAGGCCCGCGGATCTATTCTTCTATACGATAAATCGCCATCTCGTAGCACCACCACGACACCGATTCTCCGACAAAACCCCCGATTTCCCGACAGTTAGGTAGCCGATAGTAGTAGAAGCTCTAAGGCCGCTATTCCTGACAAGGAATAGAGTAAGGCCTTTACCGATCTGTTCTAGTCATCCGTTCTCCGAACGTTGTCTATATCAGAATAACCTAGCTCCAAGGATGCCTCTTCGAAGAATTTCTTTTTTTTCTTTTGTTTTTGTATTTTTGATTCGAATTAGGACTTCAGTTTTCCTCCGGTATGCTGCTCCATCATCTTCTATCCTGCGCCTAAGTAGTTGAAGGGGCCAAGTTGCATAATCGTTTTGGCTTTCTGATTATACTTCGCTTGCTTGCACGACCGCCACTCCACTCCTCTTTGCTTGAAAAAGAAAATATTACTTCGCTACCTTTCTCTGAGCTCCTAGGCAACAGATCCTACTCCCTAAGAGGAGTCATTAAGAGGGAGGGATCCTTTTAAAGGAATTCGTGCTGATTGCCTAACTTCGGGTACTTTCAAGGCTCACACTACAACAAGAGTCCGAGCGACTAGGAACAGGCTTGAATACAGAAAGAGATTCGTACTCTTTGCGCTTATTTACCAATTTGCTTATTAACAAACAAACACAGCCATGTTCGCTTACCCCTTTGCCTACCAATGATACAGGAAGGCTTACCTCAGACCCGAAGCCCCTATAATTGCTTCCACTTGAAGAGACTGACTTGCGCCATAAGTACTAGACTTTGATAAAGGAATGGGGGGGGCGAAGATATTTAATACTTGAATGGTAATCGTAAAAAGATAATCAAACCCTGCTACCGGAAAGCGCCTATTACAGAAGAGGGACTCGATTAAAGGACTCATACAAGACTTATTCCAGACCTATCCCTTCGCATGCTTCTAAGGCTCGAACTCGTCACTAAGTACGAGTAAAGCAGGAGCTATTCCCGTTGTTGTTGTGCTTTCATGGGGAGAGTACACAGGAATCGTTCCAACCTCTTTCAATCGGTCGGTATCAAAGGATCGAAAGAGGTCTGGCTAATCAATTGGTCGAGAACGAGGTCCCACTGTACAAGCAGGAATCTTTCCCTTCCCCTTCGTTCTCCCCTTCCCGTTCATCTGGAAGGAAGAGGAAATCGACCCCCAGCAATTGGTCATCATTCCTGGCCGGCTGGTGCTTTTCCCTCCCTTTCACAAGCTTGGTTAGCAAAGTACGATTCTCATTGGCCACCAGCTCAGCCTCGATCTACGGGCATTCATCTCCATAGCCCTTTTTCTTTAGCAGTACAGGCCGGCTGGCCGAGGTCGAGTTCCTCCCTTATTGAGAATCTATATGGCTTTGTTCGTCTCTATTATTTTCTTTTTCAATAGCCAAAAACTTGAGTTTCAGGTCTGCGAGAGGTCAATGTACTAGGGCTCATGCCCAAATAGGGGCTTTCTTTTCTCTTGCATGCGCCTTCGTTCCTCATTCATTCAAATCAAAGGAAGCTTCATCGGGAAGGGATAGGGATGGCGCATTGGCTTGGTTGACGGCTGGCGAGCTTAGCTTAGAGAAAAGGTTACTTCTAGTTCCTTTCGGGTAGCGCGAGTGGAAAGCCCTACAAAGTCAGCCCTCAAAGTCTTTAAGTTAAGGAAGCCGAGTTGAACAGAAGATAGAGTTTCAGTTCCAGTGAAAGCCCCTACTCCCAACAAGTTGGGAAGTGAAGTTCAAGTGCCGAAGTCAAAGAGAAGTTTCTTATTTCTGTGGCCGCGGTTACAGTTGCAATAAGTACTTTAAAGCTCAACAAGGCTTTAAACGAAAGCCTTGCTAAAGCAGATCAGGAATCTAAAGTGTGAGCCATAGCACAGGGACTCTCGGTTGGTCGTAGAAATGAAACAGTTTTCGCTAGTGAAGCTTTAAGAGATAGGGCAAGTAGTCGTAGAAACTCCTTGCTTTGTTGCCTTGGATCAAGAGTGTCAGCGACCGAGGATTGAGGCACGTTTCGTCATTTCATGTACGAAACATCCTTTGGTCCTCATGTTTGGTTTGACACCCCAAACCAAACACAATGCAATGTATGTAACATAAGCATGCCAAATGCAATATGATTCAAGCATGCACACAAGACTAAGGTAATAAGCATGTCAAATGCAATGCAACCTAAACAAGCATGTGACAAAATGTAAACTAGCAAGCATGCAAAATGCAACCTAAACATACAAGCATGCATGGCATGCAAAGATGGACAAGCATGCAACAACATGCAAACTAGCAAGCATGCAACAACATGCAACATGGAGATGCTATACAATGCAACATAAGCATGCCAAATGCAATGCAACAAGTATGCAACAATGTCATGCAAAGACAAACATGCAACAACATGCAATGCAATAAGTATGCAACAACACACAAAATGCATGATCTAAGGACTTATATTGAAAATGAGAAGACCTCAGCCATGCCAACAATAGTGGCCAAAATGATGAATTGGAAGCATGAAAGCACATACAAACATGTACACACTTAGGTTCATAAACAAGGCAACAAGACACCAACTCTTAAGAGCACTTAAAGAGTGGAAAGTATGAACATGCGACAAGCATTAAGAACTCTGAAATCATGCATGGAATGGTGTCAAACCATCCAAACTACACACGAATGGCATGCAAGAGGGTCAAAACTTGAAGATAGCAAAGGGACTTACACTAGGCTATGCAAAACATGAACCAAGGGCCTAAGCAAACCAAAACAGTCCTAAAGCATATCAAAATGAGTCTAAAACACACACGGACCAAGGCCAAAACAAGTTAACATGAAAGGCCAAAAGCATGAAGAATGCAAGGCTACAAAGGGGTGTTGCACTACACCTATCAAGACCAAACATGGCATGACTTAACCAATGAAAAACATAGTTATGGAAAGTCAAAATAAGCCCAAAAACCAACTGAGATGGCATCCCAAAAGCCTAAGCATGGAGGCATGCAGAATGATCCATTCATGAGACATAAAACATAAACTCTTTAAAGCATTAAAGGAGTGACAAGTGCAAGTGTATGACCACCCTATATGGACTGAAATCACATAATAAATGATGCCAAATCATGAAAATGGTCCAAGCAATGCATGCTAGTGACTTGGACACTCAAAGCTAACAAGCTAGAATGCATTGTAGCTATACAAAGCATGGCATATATGATCACAAAACAGAGCTCAAGCATGGTAAAACATGACTAAAAGCTTCTTCGAGTCGAGCCAAAATATGCAAGAATGATGGTCTAAACACTTAATGCATGTTAAGGAAAATGAGAGGATTGCAAGACAAGTGCATGGAGCATGCAAGATGCTATCAAATCAACCTTAGACAGAGGTAGAACATGCTAAAATAACACCAAATACTTGCTGAAATGGGGTCAAAACATGCTAAGCAAACATGCTACCAATATAAGCCCTTTATACTAGCATACAAGACACAAGGAGAGGGGGGTGTCCCTCTCCTATTCAAGACTCCAAAACCACTTCTCCACCACTGAAAATCCTTTGGATTTCAGTGGTGAGAAGGTCAAAACAAGATGGTTCCAAAGCTCAAAAGGGAAGGCACAAAACAAGGCCAAACATGGCCTAAAAGGGGGTAGACCACCCCCAACCAAAAAGTGACCTGTAACAAACATCACAAGCATGAAAAATCAGAACTTTTTGTAATAGAAAGCTAAGCTTAAAACAACATGCAAGTATGGTCAAAAGCTTAAGCAAGAATGGGGGATTAAAAGGTTAGTTGCTCACCCTTGAAGAACACCTTCAAGAACACTACTCCAGCAACTCTTCTGAGTTCAAACCAACCCAAGAACACCAAAACCAACTCCCTAGTGCCTCAGCAACAAAAGGATGGTGTATTGCTATGTGTTTGTGTGCAATAGTATGAAGAAATCACACTTTTGGGCACAAACAAAAGCTAAACAAGAGAGAGAGGTAAAATATATATATATATAGAGAGAGATATAGAACTTTGTATATCAATTTTCTGAACCTCTGGAAAGGGACAGGGGCCTCCCTTCTTATAGAATTTCAATTCTCAAGCTTGTTCAACAAGCTTGAGTCTTGAAACAAATCCCTCCATACACGTGTATGGGGGATCAGAAATGTGCATACCAGCTATCACAGCTGCCACAAAATATCTGCAAAAAGCAGATGGAAAGGTCTCGGCTCAAAAATATGGCCGATCGACCAACAAACTGCCGATCGACCAAAAGGAGTGCCGATCGGCCACCACTTTTGGCCGATGGCACAAGGCCTTAGCCGATGGGTTGAGGGGATGGCCAACAAGCCACCTTCTTCCCTCAGAAGCAAAACCACAATTCCTTGGTCCACAACCAAGCACAAAACAGACAAGTTGAGAGATCTTGAGGCAAGGCGCGCAACCGAGACTTCCGTGAACTCAAAACAAACACGAGCATGGATGATCATCGAGTGTTCAAACGATGACGTTCAAGTCTTGAGGACGATCAAAAATGAGGTGTCTACACCCGATCTTTGGTTTACAACTGGGAGTTGGAAATTCCCAACTTGATTCATTGGTTTTCTGATGCCGGCAACCGCGATGATCGTCTTTGGCAAAGTTTTCGACAACATGCCCTCTGCTTGTGTATGTTGTCTCATTTCCTACTTGCTCCTGGCTTCGGAGGGTCTAGCATTCACTTGGTCGAAGTTACCCAAGGCTTGAAAGAGGGAAAAAGTTGCATTAGCTTGACCCTAGCCGAGACTTTGATGGGCATGGATGCTTTCCATCGCCGGGAGACAACCAAGTTTGCAGGAAGTCC